AGCCAGACAGAGAGCCACGCCGAGTGCTGTCACGTGGTGCCAAGTGCCCAGGACTCCAGACTTTCAGGGAAGAGAAGAGGCACTGTGGCCTGGGGTGGTTCAGGAATGCTCCACTGAAGAGGCGGTCCATGAGATCAGGGCAGCTCTTATATAAGCCAGGAGAAGAGAGGATGACAGAGCACTAGGAAATGACATGGCTATAAGTGCTTGGGAAATACATCTTCCCCACTCCTCAAGCCCTACCCGGGGCTTATCACTCATCCCTCCAACTCTGCAGTTGGTCCAAATTGGCATCCTCAGCCACAAACATTAATGGAGCACCTATTATGTGCTGGGTCCTGGGGAAATAAATATGAGTAAGATTTGATCTTGTTCGAAGTTCCTTATGTGGGAGTTTTTCAAACTACAGTTGTCTTGGTGAATCTCTGTCATTCCGGTTCGGTAGGATTGGACTGGAACCAAGCTGCCATCTGCCCTTTTCGATAACTACTTCTGCAATTCTGATGCCCAGTCTTGGTGAAGAATCCCAGGCTCACGAGCAGGTGTAGTCACTGCCTCTTTCTTCCAACTCCCATTGCCCTCCATTTCTCCGTCCTCTCCGTAGGCTCTCCTTCAAACCCAAGCAGGTGGATGGGGTGGGTTGCTGGGATGCAGATGACACCTATTCACTCTTGGGACCAAGGATGGACAAATTGGCATAAGTATATAACAGGAAGGTAGATTTTGATTCAAAATAAGGGCAAGGTGAGGCTCTTTATCACAGTAAGAGTTGGCCAACAGTCTGTCCTGTGAAGTAATGAGCTTTCTGTTGTGGGGAGCCTTGGGCCACCTCCCTGAGCTGCTGCAGGCAAAGCCCTTCTCTGGGTGGGCTTGAATGCCACCGCTCAGCTCTGGTCCGGGGAAGAGGAAGCCATTCTGTTTCTTCTTTTCACATCTGTTCCCATCCCATTTCATCTTCTGAATTCTTAATGGCTTATGCTGTGTCTGTCAGAGATGCTCATACACTCAGGACCCACCTGCTGAACGTAGGCCACGCATATAACAAGTGATTTGCCTGGAGTCTGCCGACTGCACAGGCACCGAGCTCATCCTGCTGAATTTTCCTATGAAGCCAGTTCTCCCACCATCCAGTGTATGAGTTCCCATGTGGATGTGTGTGTGTGCACGTGCGTCCGTCATGCTTGTGCTTGCACCTAAGTGTACCTGGAGTTGCAGATCAAAGTAATAGCAAAGCAGTTTGCTCAGTGGGGTGTGTGAATGGAGGAGTTGCTGTGGCCTTGGTTACGGGGAGGATTGGTCCCCCCTCTTGTCTACCGCCTCCCCCTTCCCCTCTTCCATATCCCCCCCTAGCCCCAGGCTCCCTCCTCCAGGTTAATTTCCCGGGCCCAGCTGTGCCTCTATCCTCCCCCTCCCCCCTCCTCTTCCTCCCTCCTCATCCACCACACACATGGGCTTGAGTTATGTGCCTCCTGTTCTAATGAGATAAACAATATAACTCTCACGGGGCTCTGCTCATCCCTCTATAAGTGGAACTCCAGGGCTGAACGTGTTGGCCCTGTAAAGGCACCCTGGTGCCTGCCAGCCCAGGGAGGAGGGCAAGGAAGGGGGCGGGAGCCCTGAGAGAGTTCTTGGGGCCATTTGCTTGTTGATAGAGTTGAAGCAGACATCAAAGGGAGGCCTGTTTCCACCCTTGTGGCTAAAGGAGCAAAGAGCAGCCTTGTCATGTCACGTGGGCAGAGAGTCCAGGCTCGTCTAAGTCAGCTAATTCATGATAATTAATAACTGACATTTGTACAGTGCTTCATGGTTATAAAGAGCTTCTTCTTGAATATGAGCTAATCCCCACGACAGTCCTTGTAAGGTAGGTATTATTACCGCCCTTATCTTACAGGCAAAGAGACAGGCTCAGATAGGTGTGGTGAGATTTCCAAGGTAGCAGGGAATGGGGGTATGAGGACTCGCCCTTGTCCTCTGCACTGTGGAGCTTCTCCAATCTACTAGAGAAAGTTAAAGAATGAAATAAAGACAATCCCTTCTTCTGGACATTCAAACTACTTACTAAAATGGACTCTCCTGGGAGAGTGGACCTGCAGCTACAAGCTGAGTGGCCCCAGGCGGCTGACCAACAGGTGTGGTGACCGCAGTCTCAGGGAGGGTGGAGGACTTGGACGAGCACTGACAGTTTTGACCTCTTGTCACTTAGACCTTTTGCGTATGCTGGTCTGGACCAGTTCCTTCTCACTAACCTGCTTTTGGTCAGGCTGGAAATACCATGAAGCGGCGCGTGGGGCAAGAAAGAGCCTAAGGCACAGAGGCTCCCGTCTTGGCATGGGTGGGGTGGGTTCTGTGCTCCGTTCAAGGGGTCCTTCCTGGACGGTTTGGATGTGGATGGAGGAGTCTCCTGGAGCCAGGAACAGCAGGGGCTAAGGGTCATTCACTTCCCGCGTTTCTGAGGCTGGTTCAGTTCTGGTTGAATTTATTTGATAAGTATTTCTTGATATGCCCGCCAGGCGCTGTGCTAAGCACTGGGGATACTTGAGGTGGACATGGTTCCTGCCACCCTGGATCTTATAAAACCAGTGGAGAGGACAGTCTAGGAAGCAGGCAGTTAATGACAGTGGCTTGGGAAAAATACAGGGAACCTTGGGAATCTACTGGAAAAACCATTAGACTAGTCTTGATACATCAGAGAGGACATCCAGGCAGTAACTAGATGATGCTTAGACATCCAGAGGTTCTTTGTCAGCTATTGTAACAAGCTATAGAGTTCTTAAAAAGAAAAGAGTTGCTCAATTCCCCCACCCACCTACGTTTGGATTGGGTAGCTCTGGCGTGGATTTGGGGCATTGGTGTTAATAAGAAGTTCTCCAGGTGATTTCGGCTTCAGCCTGGATTAAGAATTGCTAATCCAAGATAGGTGGGATTATGGGACCAGTTCTGGGATATGGAGCAGCAGGCCAGCCCTTGTACTTGGCCTTCTCTGGGATCCTGGGGAACACCAGCCCCAGAAGTGGCCAAAACATCTGGAAGGGACTCTGACTCAATGTACCCATTCAGGAATTATGGGGTGAGAGGTGACATAGCCCTGGAGTGAAACACACCAGAAACATCAAACTATTCCCAGTGATGCCTTCCCTCAAACAGAGGTCAAAAGTGGACCTCATATGGGAGCGAGACCAAGCTTATTTTTTGGATTCATTGTGTCTTCTATAAATCGGTCACAAGTCTGGTCCTCAGAGCTCAAGGCACTCAGAGCTTCAGGATCCTCCTACTGTGCAGAAGACCTTACAGTTATCAACAAAGTCAAGTATTAGAAGGACTCTAGGACACGATGAGCCCTTAGCTCATAACATCAGAGGTATCTCTGGAGCCTGTAGGCTCTATCACCCTTGATGGTTTCTAAGAATCACAGGGGGAAGGGTCAGAACCTCCAGCTTCTTCACAGCCTAGCAACCTGTGGGAGCAGCTGTGTGATTAAAAACGAAACTTAGCACATAGAAGGAATTGGAAAATTTTGTTTCCTTTAACTCTGGTCCTCTGCTTTGGACCCAAATCTATGCATGGGTAGAGATGACAAGTACAAATGAAAAATGAATGAATGGATGTGTAGCAATGAAACTTTTGTAGGTTTTTCTCTGAAAAATGCAAAAATGAAGCCGTTTTTTTCTCTTAACTTTTAAACCCCCCAAAATGGAAGACAGCAGATGGGAATAGGGTCCTGATGTTTTCTACTCATGGTCCTAGGTCTAGGAAGTGCCCCTCTCATAGGAGGCTGCCTGTCTCTAACAGCTGTCACATGCCATGTTTACTACAGAAGACCGAGTTGTGACTTCCATGAAAGTGAACTGGAACATATTCTTCCATTCACTCACTCACTCACTCACTCACTCATTCATTCATTCATTCTGCAAATGTTTAGTTTGATTCTTCTCTGTGTCAGCCACAGTTCTGGTTCTGGGGATTGTGACCTGAACAAGACAAAGTTCCTGTCCTCACCAGGCTTTCACTCTAGCAGGGGTGGGTCAGTGGGCTTGCTGGTTCATTTTGGGGTGCATTGAGCAGTCTTTTTAATCTGCTAACCGCCTAACCAGTCTTCAGCCCTCTTCCTCTCCCCTCAGCCTCCACCCGCTGCCCTTTTCTCTGGGAACAAACCAGGGTCTAGTGCAGGGAGTCCACATTCCTCCAAGGCCTCTGGCTGCCCATGAGAGTGTTGTCTGTTGAGCAGGAAGGCTCCTCATGGGGCGCTCGGCATGACAGATGCTGCTGCTGTGGAGCTTTCGTGTCAAAAGCCAAATCTCAATGGTGATTCTTGTTGGGAGACCATGTGACACATGAGGCCAGCCGCTGAACTCCTGCCCATTTTTTTTTGTAACGCCCAGGCTGGTGGGCAGGGCTGTACAGGGCTGCTGGCTATGCAGGCTTACATTCTGATGGAGGTGGCACAGGGATCCCTTTGGCTTCAGCGAGCTGCCAGCAGCTATCAGTGGGTGGAAGAAGCCCACTTCTTCAGTGGGTAGGAGATCTAGCGCCTTGATCCTGTTTCCTTGAAATGTTTCCCAATCCAGGCTGTCCATAGGTAGACAGAATGACTTCTGCTGCTCCCCCTTGAAGGGAACCTGCTTGGCCTGGACAGAGGGGCAGCTGATGGGCAGTAGCTGGATATGCACTGCCTTGGAAACACTGTGATGAGGGTAAATCTGGAAAAGTCCTTCTTGTGGTTTGGAGGTCCCTCTGATTTTCTTCCTAGGCCAAGAGAGCAGAACTGATTTTGGTCACAGTGATGGCTCATTTTGGCCTGTGTCTACTGAGGCAGCATGGTAGAGCAGACAGAGCAAGGGTCCTAGGGTCAGATGACCTAGATTCTGCCTGGGCTCTACCATCTACCAGCTGTGTGACCTTGACAAGTCACTTCACGTCTCTGGGCTTTACTTTCCTCACTGTGAATGAGAAGGTTAGATCCAGCCTGGAGCCTTTAATCTTTACACTGTCTCTGTCCACAGGCCTCGCCCCGGGCCAGCTATACACGTACCCTGCCCGCTGCTGGCGTAAGAAGAGACGATTGCACCCACCTGAGGATCCGAAGCTGCGGCTGCTGGAAATAAAACCTGGTCAGTGCCCTGTGGAGCTTGGCTGGGCCAGCGATGGGAGAGGTCGGGGGTGCTGGGCTGGCTGAGGACAAGGTTGCTCTGCCGCTTTGTCCATAGAGCTGAGTTTTCCAGGAGAGTGAACGTGCCTACATGGCGCTCTCAGGAATAAACACATCCACGTGCCCCCAGCCTCACCAAGCTTCTCTCCCTCTAGGTGTTTCGGGCCTTCCCCTTCCTCTTGTCTTTCTCTTGCCACCCCAGGAGAGGAGAGCAAGCAGGCACAGTGTGGGAACAGGCCCAGGATGAATGACTTTCCCAACAGAGCTGAAGGAGCTGCAGCTCTTTTCGGCCAGGTGATACCTTCCCATGGCTTCAAGTAAGGAAAACTTGTCCGAGGCTGTTTCAAAGGAGGACAGTGCACCATGTACCCTCTCCCACCCTTACTGGAAATGAGCTAATGGAGCATCTTACACAAGTGGGGCCAGTCACTAAAAATAGAACCCATCTTGGACATGGAAATGAGAGAGTTTGAGTTCAAAATTTGCCTCTAGGTGATGTTGATTGCTTTGTGGCCGTGCAGAAGGAATTGGTTAGTTTTCTTGACTACTGATCTGTTATTACACTTCTGAGCGGGTGGCAGTCTTCAGACCTTGCTGCAGCAAGGCCAAGTGATTGCCCTGGGTCCTTAGCTTTAAGGGAATGTCTGGTTTGGGGGATGCCAGAGCTGCGACATGACTCAGAGTGGTGGCAACAGTGCTGTTAAGTGGGGCAAAGGCAGAGCTGACATGCCCCCTCCCACTGTCACCAAACAACACAGGCCCGTCAAGGCCAGCTGCCTGGCAATGTTACCTCACTCCTGCCTTTTCACACTGGCTCCTTAGGCTGTGTTTTTTCTGCAAAATCTCTACTTAACGGTTCTTCGGGATGCTTTCTCACAGGTCCCTTGTTAAGCACGCTTCAAATTTTCACCCTAACTCACATTTCACTTGTGCAAAAGTTTTATTTATTAGGGGCGGGTGCTCCACCCAAGTTCTCAAATGGCCTTGCACAATTTACAGACCCTTGCAGACACTCCAGGGTGATGACTGGGGCTGTCCCAAACTCCCTGAGATGCAGGCTGTAGGAGAGCCAAGTCTCCTGGATCACGATTGTGAGCCACATGTGTCATTTTACATTTTCTAGTAGCCACATTTAAAAAAGGAAAAAGAAACAGGTGAAATTAATCTTAACGATAGATTCTATTTAACTTAACATATGACTAATATCATTTCAGCATGTAATCAGTATAAAAATTATGAACGAGGTATTGTACTTTTTTTGGTATTGTTTTTTAATTCCATTGTGTATCTTTTAACGCATTTCATTGCAAACTAGCCACATTTCAAGTGCTTGATTGCCACACATGGCTAGTGGTCCCCATATTAGCCAGAGTGGTTCTAGAATTACACTCAAAGTATAATCCAGGGCTTCCCTGGTGGCGCAGTGGTTGACAGTCCACCTGCTGATGCAGGGGACACAGGTTTGTGCCCCGGTCCAGGAAGATCCCACGTGCCGCCGCGGAGCGGCTGGGCCTGTGAGCCATGGCCGCTGAGCCTGCGTGTCCAGAGCCTGTGCTCCGCAATGGGAGAGGCCACAACAGTGAGAGGCCCGTGTACCACAAAGAAAAAAAAAAAAAGGATAATCCAGTTAAGGATTACCTCATCACTCATCCGTGCCACTTCCAAGACACCAGGACTCAGACCACTTCCAGATCTGGGACAACAAAGGAGGAAGCCCATACCTCCAAAATAAATTGTTCTTATTGACAATCGTTTATGTTTAATAAAGAAGCCGTAGATGGCGTGGAGTCATGCCGTACTGACTTGTGGTCCGGCCACCTGTAAGTCTTCAAAACCAGTGTTTCTCAAACTTCAGTGTGCGTTCTGGGGATGCAGTCCTTGGGATCTGATAAAATGCAGATTCTAACTCAGCAGGTCTGGGGTGAGGACCAAGATTCTGCATCTCTACCAAGCTCCTAGGTGATGCCTGTGCTGCTGAGCTCCCCTTGACAGGCTCTAGAAATGCAGTTATGTCTATGATTCTTGGAGCCTCCCTTGGGCTCTACCATCAGTAGAGTTCTCAGAGGAGAGAGTTCCCCTGACTTGTGAGAGACTGGACACCGGCCTGGAGAGGAATTGTCTCAAGGCATGAGTTTCCTTCCACGTCAGACCTTTCTATGCATAATAAGGAGATGCCACAAGCAATTTGTCATGCCAGCACCCGGTTTGTCCCTCCTGTCTTCCTTTGCGTCCCTGCCTGAGTCCAGCCAGTGGCGGGCAGCTTTCAGCAACAAAGCCCAGGGTTAAACGTGGCTTAGACTTGTCCTTGACCCCAGGTCTTCAGAGCTAAGAGTTTTGTCAGGAAACCAGGTCAGGGCAAGGGGAGGGGGTGTCCACTCAGGAATCTGAGGGACCTCGGAGCAGGTCTGAGGGCAGAGCCCCCGCCCAGCACAGAGCTCATCTATGGCATCACAGGGTGGCGAGTGGGGAGCCCATCATGGCTGCTGTGAAGTCGTTTGTTCCTGGGCTAAACTTACACTGATGGAGTCCTCCCTAGGCCTGCAGTCCTCATCCCATCTCCCTCACTGTGAATATGCCATCCTGCCTATGTTTCTTTACTACTTGCTGAAAATAAAAATGTGTCTGTGTGTGGGTGGGATGAGGATGACAGCTGGGGCGAGCTCTTTGGAATTTGAAAGCATTCTCAACGTCCCTGGACCTATGTGTTTCTCACGCCTGACATCACCCCTCCGATCAGTCCTGAATAAACATCTTGCAAACCTCCCACTTGCCTGGGCATCTGAAGGACAACACACGCAACATCATTTCTCTCTGCTGACTGACGGCGGAGTTCAGCGTTCTCTGCAGCTTGCACCTGGCTGCAGAGGTGCGTGCAAGGTGTTTCAGGGCACAGCCATCACAACTCAGGCAACGCGAAGAGGGGCAGGAGCCTGGTGCCAGAGAGGGGCCTCCCCTGGACCGCTCCCCCAGGAATGGAGCTCTGCCCTTGCAAAGGGGAAGCTGAGCTGGCAGGAGACAAAGGTGGGTAGTGAATATCCACCAGAAGGCCCTGAAGCCGGGCAGATGTTGGGCAAAAGCCAGCTGATTAAAAAAGAGCCTTTAACTTCACTTTTTTTTTTGAATGAGGAAAAAGGGCTGGGAACAAACTTTTAACTTGTGTCCTTCTGGGTTAAATCCTCAGATAGTCTGCTTCGATCAGTTTAGCATCTTCTGACCCCAGACCTTTTGGTCCCTGTGGTCTGGAGCAGATTTTATCTTTGTTTTAGAGATTGGGAAACTGTGGCACTGAATTAGGAAGTTAATTTCCCAAGGGGCTGTCAGTGGTGAAGCCAAGGAAAAGAACCCTATGGGGGAACCTGTTGGAACTGGCGCCATGTTGCTCCAGGACTCAACACGCACATTCATCCTGGTGTCTCAGACCTGTAGGGCTCCCGGAATGTACCTGAGGCCTTGTGATGCCCTTCCGCTCCGGGACACTTAGGGAGCAGCCTGGCTCTTTGCCACCCTTGCCAAATTCCAAGGGTTATGGGAAGGAAGGCAGCCAGGAACAGGGTTCTGGTTCTTTCTCTTCGTTTTTTTTTGGCAGCCACCCAGTGACTGGGCATGAATGACCGGGACAATCACCACCCTACCACATGTTGGGGGAACGTGAACAGTCGGGCAGGGCCCCTCAGGGGATGGTAGGCTAGGGTACGGCCCCAAAGCAGAGGGTGCCATAGCTGGCCAACAAGCAAGTCTCAGGGGCCCTCGGAGGGGTGCCCCCCAAGGGGGCGGTCCAGGCAGAGGCCTGAGTCCCACCTGTGAGGGCAGCGGTGGAGAGGCCTGCTTTGCCTGCCTAGGGTGCTGTCCCTGCCGCACTGAACTGCCAGGACTCTACAGATGGGAGCAGGCTGTGGCCAACTTCCCCAGCTTTTGAAAATCCTGCATCTTAATTAGTTCCCTACTGCTTTTGTACATGGCCCACATTTTAATAATCTCCGGGCTTCTTCCACCGTTTTCTCTCTGATGTTCGGCGCGATTTCTCTTCTCCTCGAGGCAGTCCCGCCGACTCCTCCAGCACCCTCCCAGCCCGGGAACAACTTACGGAACGCTGCCGATGTGCCAAGCATGTGGCCTGAGATCGATGAGCCTGTCAGCTGGCTCCCTCTGCCCCCGCCTCCCCGTCTCCCGTGTGCGCCTCACAGGGATGAGCCAGGTGGGGTGGGCAAGACTGGGGGAGGCGGGGGCAGGGACCCGTGGAGCCCCCAGCCAGGTGTGAGCCAACGGACAGCGTGACCTTCCCCTGGCCCACAGAGGAGTCTGGCTGTGTCCTTCCAAGGGGGAAGGACGCTGAGCTCCCACCCCATATGTCAGTGCTTATCTGTCTCTGCGAGGGGGTTCCTTGAGCGTGGTATGGCGGGGAGAATGGATGCCTTCAAGTGCATCAGGGGGAAATGACCAGTCATTTATCTCTTTCCTGCAGTGTCAGAGCTGCAGCCATCCATCCTGGAGGCCGGCAACAGCAGCTTTTTCACAGCTCTTGTTGGCCTCGTGAGCTGGAGAGAGGTGGGCAGGCCACTCCGGCCCCTGCTTTGTGCCCTCCTGGCAGTCTGGGGGAAGGCGCTGGGTCCGGGGGACTGGGCCTGGGCCTATGACACTGCTCGAGTCTCGCAGGGCTCTGGGAGCCTGGGCTGGCCCAGGAAATGGGCGGCAGCTGGGAGTCGGCTGGGTGGCGGCGTGCACAGCTGCTGCAGAGTTTCCATGGCTGGGTTTTTCAGTTGGACCTGGGGGAACCATGTTTAGAGTGTAGGTTGTAAGGCTGTCGCCCTGTTACGCCAGGGCCTTTTCACTTGTATCTCTCCCTGCTGGAAGGCGCACATTTTGAGTGCAGAGGCCCACCCAATCCTTCATCTGTATCCCCAACACCCAGCACCGGACTTGGCACATGATAGGTGGATAGCAAAGATTTATTAAAGGGATGAA